GAGCCGGGACCTCATCTTTAAAAAATAATATCAGCCAGTGTAGAGTGCATCGCATCATAGTTCACAGCAACCTCAAACTCTCCAGCTCAAGTGATCCTCTTGCCTCAGCCTCCGAAGTACCTGGGACTAAAGGCACTTGCCATAAAGTCCAGCTAGTTTTTCTATTTTTAAGTAGAGAACAGGGTCTCACTATTGTTCAGGCTGGTCTCAAACTGCTGAGCTCAAGTAATCTACCTGGCTTGGCCTCCACAGTGGTGGATTATAAGCATGAGCCAACTCACCCAGCCTGAAATTATTCTTAACTTAAATAACTGTCCCTGAACAGTTCCTGATCTTAGTCCTTTTTAAAAAACAAACACAAATCAGTATCTATGACACTATTTAAACAAGTTGGTAAACTAAGCAAATAGTTTTGATTTGTTGTTACATTAAAAATATCTATCCTATTCTTACCTATTAGAATTTAAGTTCTGTCCAAGATAATGGGGAAATTTTTTGGTATCACATTCTATAGAAGATGAAGTTTTGTGTAAGGTTTTCACCAACTCAAAATCTTCCATAGTGTACAGAAACTGTTATACTCTCTTATTTGAAAATAAAGTTTCTTTGACTGTTTGAGGAAACTGAATCAGAGTCATCTTCAGATGCTTCATCGTCTACCGGCATTTTCAGTTGCTAACATTCAGAACCGTGAAATATCCTAAACTTCCAAGAGAGTCTGAAAATGAATGAGGAAAAAAATACTACTATAAAAAGCCACTAAACCTAGCAAATATCTTTTCATGATTTTGGAAACCTTGACTTCTTTCATACATATTTACCTCAAAGACAGCAACACTATTCATAATAACCAAAGTGTAGAAACAACCCAAATGTCCATTAATAGATGATTGGATAAACAAATATGGTTTATCAAGCCAGTCACATATGATTTCATTCCTATAAAATACCTAAAATAGGCAAATCCATAGAGACAAGATAGATTAATGATTGCCAGGAATTGGGGAAAAGAAAGTATGGAAGTAACTGCAGGTGGTTTGGGGGTCACTTTATGGGCTGATGAAAAGTTCTGGAATTAGATAGTGGTGGTGGTTGTACAACCTTGTAAATATACTACAAACCACTCAATTGTATACTTTTAAATTTTATGCTATCTGAACCATAAATAGTACCAAAAAATCTATAAGGGTGATTTGTAAAAAGCAGCATCATATCTTTAGTTCTTATTTCAGAATGTTACATGTTTAATAATCAAGGTTCTAGACACAATTCCATTATGTAACAATTGGAGTATTTACATGCCTTGTTCTTTTGTTTAATAAATTCTACCACACATACATGCTGGTTTACATGACTAGAATAACTGAAGTACTTCATATTTAATTTTCATTTAAAAAAAAGCCAATTAAATAAACACAGTTGCCTCCTCATTGGCTGGAAGTACATTTTACACTAGTATGACCTTTTGTTATCTGTGCACTTATTACTTCTTAAAAAATAAACTGTGGGGCCAACTAAAATTTCACTGAAGCTGAGCATACAGTGGTAAATTGGTTAAAATGAATCCAACAATATGCCTCCTGCTTAGGGAATTCATACATTAGAAAAAATTAGAGAGCAAGAGAAACGGAAGAAAAATGAAAAGTTTACAGAGAGTGTGACAGCGGAAAATTATCTAGTATTTCAGTCCCTCTAGATTGTTATACTCTCACTTTTCTAGGACCTGGTTTTAAAAAGCACTACATAAAAAAAAAAAAAAAAAAAAAAAAAAACATCAGTTCATCAGGGCCAGACCTAACCAAAGATTTTCTCCCCAGTGGCTCAGTTCAAGTAGGACACTGAAAAAGTCAGGGACTGCCCCTTCCAACTGGCAGTAGAAATACCTGGATTCAAATCACCTTGCTCGGATACCAAGAAAACACAAGGTCTCCGGGGAGGTGGATCTGAAACCATCTATTATTCCCCCTGCTGAGGTAATCCGGATACAGCAGATCCAGACGGAAAAGTGCTAGAAATTCAGTGATGCTTCGCCAGCGGGAGTGGGGTACGCGGGGAGCATTAAAGGAGGGGGAAAACCAAACACCCTGATATACAATGCAAAATTAAGGACCAAAAAAATATAAAGAATGAAGCTGGAAGAATGGTTCTTCCAGCACCAAGATATAACGCTTTTGGTCCCCCATTCCTAGCAGAGCTGAGGGAAGAACCGCCGATGGGGTCTGTAGATGATATGAAAATGAACGAGGCGTTCTGCTGAGACTGAGCGGAGAAAAGGGGTGATTTCAGGAGCTGAGGCCAGGTCCCTACATTCTGGAGCTCACAGCCCGACTTCAATTGCCGGTGGCGGTTTATCGAATTCAAGTCCGAACGCGAGGGACAACCCACGCAGCCGCCTATGCCACAGAAAGCAGAGGAGACGGAGAGAAAGCGACAGCTCCAGCAACTACAACTTGAGATTCCAAAAGGAAGCGACCGTGGCACCTCTACCCCAGACCTAAAAACCAAAAGCCCCCCGCCCCTCGGGAAGAGCGCTCGCGATTGGGTCACGCGGGTGTCACTCAAAGGCACTGAACCCAGAAAAGGCACTCCGCAGCCCGGCAGAACCCCCACACGCCGGAGGACGCTGGTGGGCTTCTGTCGCTTGTCTGTCGTCTCCCCTTACCCTAGCGCACCAGCACATTCAAAGGTCTATTAAGACGGTGTTCCCTAAATCTCATCCCCTGTCCTCCGCGACTAGCAACTTCCCACAGGCCGGTGGCCGCTTACCTGGCCGCCGCTCCCACTGCCGATGTCAGGGTAGAGCGAGAGGCCTCTCGCGACCGTTAAACTCGAAAGAGCGTGCGCGCGGCCCCCGTCTCGCCTGCGATTGGCTGCTGGGAAGGGGGCGGAGACAGCCCGCTTCGGTGCCATTCCAGCCAAAGAGAGACGGCCAACATTGGGGGCGTGGCCGAGGGGGTGGTGCTCCTGTCAAGTTGTCCCCTCTGATTGGTTCTCTAGGAACCTACGTCTGCCACGCGGGAAAAGAACACTCAGATTCTCGCATGCGCAGTTAATAAGAATGAGTCTCGGGCTGGTGAGGGAAGCCACAGCGAAAGTACAGCGCTTGCGCAGACCCGGGTACGCGTTGCTATCTGTTTCTTGAGGTGATTCGGGATCTCTCAGAACGTTGAGGGTCGGAAAGCGATCCTGAGGCCAGGTAAGCGTCCGCTGGGAAGCCAGGTACTCTTATGGCTGCCCACGACACCCAAGGGCTCTGAAGAAAGGACGAGGAGCCAGGATGCCAGAGCTTTTCCGTGCTCGTGACCCGGAGTCGCGCAGCTGCTTTAGCCGAACCCCTGCTGGCTGTCAGGTGAAGCCTGTCCTGCCACCTGTGCTCGGTTTTCTCTGGCTTTGACTTACCCTGGGTTGCTAGAGGTCGGGCATGGGGCTTTTCCAGCACTTGTGGCTGGGGAGAGGAGGAGCGACCCTCCTGGAGAAAACAGATCCCTGAAGGCCCAAAGAAAAATAGAAATTCACTAATTCGACAAAGCAGGATGGAGCTCTAACCAATCATCAGAGCCTGTTTCTGTCGTGGCATGTAGTAGATGTCACCACTACATCTACTTGATTGGCCTTTGAAAGGCCACCGAGACCCCGCCCTCCTCCCCGCAGGCCTCTAGCCCATCTCTGGAGCGCCGTTCAGCCCCAATTCTTCAGCCTAGTTAACTTATATGCCTCTTCCAGCTGTTAGATTTCACTCCTCGTATCGTGGCCCATAGTAAAGGGACTTCGCAAGCACTATCATTCAGGCATGGCAGAAGTGGCGCTGAGAAACCAGGACAGGGGAGATGTATTTGCCCCTGGAATGACAGATCTACCAAGAGGCATTCCATCTCATCAGAGCCTTCTAAGAATACTACCAATTCCTTTTAACAGCAAAAATTCAATCTCTATCCAAAACCCCATCAATGTTAAAATCTTAAGCTTAAATAAATTGACAACCCCCCCCTCCAGATAGTGTTAATCAACCAGTCAATATTATGTTCATGTTACCCTTAACCAAAACAAAATCATCATGAAGCACATGGCTCTATTTTCAGGGATGGGCTATTTTCAAGCCCACCAAAGAAAACAGTTTTAGCACTAATTTCAGTTGATCACAAAATCTATCGTTTGAGACACTGTAGAATCTTGCACCTATGTGATTGAGAAGTGTGACTTCCTGAGACAGTGCTAGGCAGAGAGGTGTGTTTCCCTACAAGAAAAATATTAATCCCCAAAATGAGTACTACTGATTAGGTATTCATCATGCAAGAGGCAGTAGTAAATCATTTCTTTTGGCTATAAAATTGAATGGACTGTGTTCAGTTTCAGTGTGTTTGGGGTTTTTTTGTTTGATTTTTGGCATTGTGATTTTAGGTAATTTTTAAAATCCATTTATGTCTTAATAAGCCAAAATGTTTAGGAACTAGTATTCTGATTATCTGTATTATCTTGTTAACCCACTCATGCAATGACACACTTTGGCAAGGTTATTTATACCATACTTCTTACCTTAGGTTTAGCTATTTGGTAGGGTCTTGATTTAAAAACATTAAAAGTGGAAATTCTCTTTGACTAATAACAATAGACAGAAGAAATGCCCCTTTCAAAGCTTTATCACAGATGAAAGGGTAGTTTGTAAAGCCAAAAAAATTATTTCTGGTCTCGGTGCCTGTGGCTCAAGTGGCTAAGGCACCAGCCACATACACCTAAGGTGGCGGGTTCTAATCCAGCCCGGGCCCACCAAACAACAATGATGGCTGCAACCAAAAAATAGCCAGGGGTTGTGGCGGGCGCCTGTGGTCCCAGCTACTTGGAAGGCGGAGGCAGGAGTCTCGCTTGAGCCCAGGAGTTGGAGGTTGCTATGAGCTGTAATGCCACGTCACTCTACCCAGGAGGACAGCTTGAGGTTCCGTCTCAAAAACAAATAAAAATAAATAAAAGAAATTATTTCTGAATGTAGAAAACAAAGTAGAAGTCTTCAGAAATTTAAAGTAGGAGAATTGTTCATCTAATCTAAATAACCTCCTCCCATACTGGATATTTTGCACTATTTGTAAGCAAGCTTACACAACTATTTTATGGCCTTTATAAAGTTATGGCTACTGTACAATTTTCTTTTTTTTTGAGACAGTCACACTATGTCGTCCTTCATAGAGTGCCATGGCGTCACAGCTCACAGCAACCTCACTCTTGGGCTTAAGCGATTCTCTTGCCTTAGCTTCCCAAGTAGCTGGGACTACAGGTGCCCGACACAATGCCTGGCTATTTTTTTGTTGTAGTTGTCATGGTTGTTTAGCAGGCCCAGGTCAGGATCAAACTTGCCAGCCCCAGTGAATGTGGCTAGCACCCTAACCACTGAGTATAGGCACCAAGCCATACAATTTTATTATAAGGAATTACTCAAGTATTTCTCAGGTGTCTTGAAGACATCAAATTGACAGCTTTTGAACTGTGATCTTTTCCATTTATCAGGCTATTCGGTAATAGTAGCTGATGATGGCTTAAGGCATTTAGTATAGCATCTTAACCAGGATGTTACTTTGTGTCCTTGATTTTTATGTCCAAACAGTTTGTTGTTTGGGGTACCTTCTCCAAAACATGATTTGTTAATCACATTTAACAAACATGGAAGGAAAGGATCAACTTTATTTTTTTTTCTTTCCCGTCTTTCATGATTTTTTTTTACTATGTTACATAGTTCCTAAAGATATTTATGTTTAAACTAGGACTTATCCACGAAGATGGTTGCTATCATTCAATGTGAGCCTGTTAGGAAGCCAGGCTGTATTTTTGGCATCATGATAATCTTCTTGGCACCTGATTTCATAGACCAGAATTGTGACCCCACTAAAAAGCATATTTTCAGTAATATCATGGTTTCCATGTATTTCTCATTATAAATTCAACCATACCAAGTAAAGTAACTTGCAAGTCACTGTTCTAGATGCCTTTCACTCTGGGCTCTAAAACAAAAGCCCAGGAAATAATCAGTTCCCGGATTGGATTTGTGCCATCCCAAATGTGGAGTGTTAGACAGGGATTCCTATAGGTAGGGATCTGAAGTGCTACCATTTCCTGAGCACTAAGGACTTTACATTTGTGGCAAGATACATGAGTTTCTTCTCACTATAGGTTTAGAAATGAGGGAAAGTGGCCAAAGGTGGTGCTTTTTGATTTACTAAACATGGAGTTGAGACATTAAAAGCAGGGCACAATAACTACAAAGCTCACAATCTCTGCAGTATGGCTTTTCTGGAAAAACAAAACAGGAGGGAAGAGTCAAAAAGAGAAAGCTAAGGAAAACGTACCAACATTGCTTAAGCAACTGGGAAAAGAACAGATATAGTTAACAAAATAAGCTCTAGAAAGGATAAATTTAGTTTGAGAAATTGAAAACCTAATAATCTTCCAAAATAAGACTTCCTGAGACAGTCCACATAGTATGCATCCCTTATTTTCTTTATCTGTATTAAATACAATCATGTATTTTGAAAGTACACTGGAAACTGTTTAAGTCCTAAACAAATACAAGGCATCATTAATGGTGATATAAGCTACAAGACTTTTAGAAGAAAATGTATAGCCTTATTATTGCTGGGGTTTGGTTTGTGTTTCTGTTTTAACAGTGTAGTTCATAAATTTTATAAAGTTCCAGGCCCAGCACAGTGGCTCACACTTGTAATCCCAACACTTTGAGTGGCTGAGGCAAGCCTGGGCGATACAGTGAGACCCTATCTCTACAAAAAGTAAGAAAAATTAGCCAGACAGGGTGGCATGTGTCTGTAGTCCCAGTTACTTGGGAGGCTGAGAGGGGAGGATCACTTGAGCTCAGAATTTTGAAGTTGATGTGGGCTACAATGACACCTCTGTACTCTAGTGCAGGCAACAGAGTGAGACCCTATCTCTAAAAAAAGAAAAAAGAATTATAAAGTTCCTGCTAGATGCCTTAAATAGAAGAAATGTGATGCACATGAATAGGAGAGGTGTAATTTTCTGTGGATGTTGGTATATCATGAATTGAATACTTTTCTCTTTAAATACTTCATTAGTTGTCTCTTGACCTTCACAGCAGTAAGCCTCTTAAATTTAGACCAGGCAGAATAGTCTCCTTTTCCTCTTGTTCTCTAGAATCAAAGATAACAGCTTTGTGTTTTCTGCTCAATCTATTATGTTTTCCTTGTTTGAGAAGTAATTATCTATAAACACTTATCTAAAGGGCACTGTATTTTTAGTGCAAAACTCCAAGCCTAGGAAATGACATGGTGGTTTGTTGCAAGCCTAACCCATGATACTCAGTGATTCCATCTGAAGAGGTGTTTCAAGCATTATAAGGATTTCAGGCATCTAGAACTGGAGGATGAGCTAGATGTGAAAGAGAAAGCCTACTTTCTTTCAACTCCCATTTTACAAGGAGCACAAAAATACACTTTTGAAACATTAATTATTAGTTCTTTTTTTTTTTGAGGCAGAGTTTCACTATGTTCCCCTCAGAGTGCTATGGTGTCACAGTTCACAGCAACCTCAAACTCCTAGGCTCAAGTGATCCTTTTGTCTTAGCCTCCCAAGTAGCTGGGACTACAGGCACCCACCACAACACTCAGCTAAAATTGAATTATTAGTAAGAATTTCTTTTTTTTTTCTTTTTTTTTTTTTTTTGAGACAGAGTCTCACTATGTTGCCCTCAGTAGAGTGCCTTGGCGTCACAGCTCATAGCAACCTCCAACTCTTGGGCTTAAGTGATTCTCTCACCTTAGCCTCCCAAGTAGCTGGAACTACAGGCTCCTGCCACAACACCTGGCTATTTTTTTGTTGCAGTTACCATTGTTGTTTAGCTGTCCCGGGCAGGGTTCGAACCTACCACCCTCGGTGTATGTGGCTGGTACCATCACCACTGTGCTCTGTGCTATGGGAGCCGAGCCTTAGGAAGAATTTCTTAAAACATTCTCCTCTCACTTGGCCTCTGCTGTTATCAGCTGACCATTTTGTCTTTTCAAAGCAGCAACATTGCTCATTGGTCTGTTTAAGCTCACTATGACCTTAATCATTTATTAGGTCATTAATTTAAGACCTATGGTTTCATCTTCTTATTGAAGAATAGATAAGTGGTGAATAAACAGTAATCAGCACTCCTGAATTCTGGTCTCAACTCCTTTAATGTTATAAAAATAAGAA